AAAAAGCAGAGAAGCAATGAGGCAGAAGAACAGAGGCAGTTTCAGATGAACTAGTGAGAGGGTATTTTATTTTGTTTCGTAACTTACACTACATGAAAGGGTTTGTATAAACCAAGCCATACACAACAAAAGTGTCTTTGGAGGCTGAGATATGTAGAATCAAGAAAGCCAGTGACACAACTTTGAAAGCATATTCTATCAACGAGAAGAGAACATTGATCGCAGGGAGAAGAGAAGCCAGGGGAGAGACTAGAGAACACGAATTATGTTTCGGTCCATCCAGACGCTAAGCCTTCCCTTGTCATCATCCCCGCTACACGCAGGGCCTGCAGGGTACAAAGGGGACCTGAAATAATACTGAGGAGGTAGAGGGAGAAATAATCCCTATATAACCCACAAAATTATTTTTTCTCAATTTCCAGAAGTAAATTCCTACAAAAGTAACTCATGATCAAAACAGAGAAAGAAAAGTCAAGGGGTTTTAAATCCTGATGATAAAAAGAATGATGACTAATGGTCAGGAAACAAAGAAGTCCTTTTGAGGATAAAAATCTATCTGTGTCCCTATCTCTGTGACACAGCAAGGGAGATGGTGCTGATGAATGCCATCAGCCCCCGGACTAGTGGCATTAAAGCACGGTCTTATATGTTTAATTCCAGCCTCTCTGTCTTTTTATCCTCTCAGACTAAATCTTTGAATTTTAATAATGTGTAAGACTGAGACTTTTGCCAGGTGTGGTGGTGCATGCCGGTAATTCCAGCACTCTAGGGGGTTGAGGCAACCCGAATGTAAGTTTGAGCCCAGTCTGGATAATTTAGCAATTTAGCAAGATCCAGAGATTTTTATTTCTCAAAGTGCTCTGTGTAAACTCCCAAAGAAAAGTAGGGAACATTCATGCAAGTTAAATAGGTGTCAATTTAAGGACAAGGTGATTGAATTACAATTCCTGGCCAGGGATGTGAATTTTTTTCTTTTTTCTTTTTCTTTTTTTCTTTTACACACATGATATTTCCCTGACATCTGTGCAATACAAATATATCTAGAAAGTGTGAAATGAAAAATCTGCTCCACTAAATATATAAAAGGGACCCCGAGTGAAGACTTCATGAGAGCATTTGTCATCGTGGGCCCAGATGGCACCCTTCCCCAGCTCCCACTCCAGCTCCCCCAATACCAGCTTAAGTTTCAGCCACTGAATTCTCTCAAAAATATCACATGTAAGAGAAGCAGAGGAGCCCATCCGCAAGTTACCTTCTTATCTGTTAGTCCTCTTAGCACATCACGCTTGGGGCCAATAAATCAGGGAAAGTATGGTATCTCAACAAATAATGTGGACTCGGCACAGCACCTGTTGCTATGGAAATCCAGATGACATGAACAATCTAGCGGTCTTTATGCTATTTTGCCAATAAGTAGAGGCACTACTGTCCTGCACTCACCATTTTCCCTACGCGGTCCATGCTACAGAACTCAGCCTCTTAGCCGTGCTCCTGTGTCCACACATTAAGGCACAGGATACTCACAGTCATCTTCATGTTGTTTTGCTTCCTAAATACTTACAGAGGCTTTAAGACACAAGTACGTGGTATTTAGGTGAAAAACGGCGGCCAGAAAATCCGGGAGAAATAATGTATACTACAAAGTCATCAGAAGACTGGCTCCATCTACTCATGCTAGCAGAACTTGGAACACAGATACTAACAAATAGGCCTTAGGAAACAGAAATGGTTGAGACAAGAAGTTTGGGAGACCATGACTCCGCCCTGGGTAGGGTAGGGTGAGGGTGCAGATAGTGTTGGGGTGTATTTTAGGAATGTGGGAGATGTTACAGGAGGTGGTGTGGAGGTACAGAACGTGGGTGGGAGGGGAGCAGAGAAGGGCAAAATAAGAAACAAAAGAGGAATTGAAAAGTTTGCTAATTGGATTAATCTCGGAAACACGTTAGATTACAGATGTTGCGCTATTCAGCTAGGAAACATAGTCAGGGGGGAGAAGAACTGCTTTACTGCGGTTCTTAGGTCCTTCACTCTTGAATCCTAAACTGCATACTTCTTCACCATTGAAAAGTCATGACTATCTTCTTTTCTCTCCTTCTTTCTCTCTCCCCTCTTCCTTCTTTCCTTCCTTTCATTTTTTTTCTTAGTCCCGATATATTAAGCCCAGGTCCATGCATGGTGTTCAGGGGCTCCACCACTGAGCCTCATCATTTTTATTTTGAGACAAAGTCTCACTAAGTTGCCCCTGTGCTGGTCTTAAACTTCTCATCCTGTCACTGCAGCCTCTTGAGTTGCTGGGATTATAAACCTAATACCACACACAGCTCCTCTTCCCTTTAATATAGCAAACTCAACTTTAAAATAAGAAAGAGTTGCTATAAGATACCTATAGGAAATAGCATTAACAAAGGCTTAAAGTGCCCACAGATGGACACTTAAGTATTTGTACATTTATTACACAGTACATATATTGCAACACAAAAAAATTATCACTTGTATTTTTTGATCCCCAACTGAATCACTGAAACAAAATAACAAAACAATCACAAAGTTGGGAAGTTAGAAGGATTGGTTTCCATGCCTACTTTTAAAGAAAAGGAAATGGAACTTTAGAGAGGACAAGTGACTGGAAGACAATCGCACAGAATAGTTCATGTTGTAGTCTCTGAAAGTCCATGATGGCAAATGTGCCCAGGGTTGAGGTGCAGAACGGCCCCGTGAATACTGAACTTCCTGGTTTCCTAATGGTGACCATGCTTGTTTTTAGTGACAAAGGAAGCAGACAAGTGGGGGAGAAGCACAGGCTTCAAAGTCTGGAAATCACACCTGTTTGTTATCACAGAAATCACCTTTCTGGGCACACAGTCATGCTGGGCTGGTCCAAGAATGATAGGTGTCTCTGGTCTAACTACTGGATCATTTCAGAAGCATATTATAGGGTGGCTAAAGGTGCCCGTCAGTGAGTGGCCTTCTCTAGATGTGATCATCATCCTGGCAAGCTCTGTGTGGTGGAATCAAGACTTGGGGAGAAGGTGGACAGAAGAGCGTCCCCCTTCCCCTTAGTCTGAGGATAGAAAGCTTGAGTCAGACACAGTTCCTTTCAAGGAAGGATAGAACAGAGCTGTGATTAGGTCACTTTTGTCCAAATGGAGCAACTAGGTCATTCAACTGAAAATAAATAACCCAAACCTACAAACATTTGAACTGGACCCTCTCCACGTTTGTTTGTTTTTCTGAGGGGGTGGAGCCTCTCTCTGTGACAGTCAGGAAGGCCTGGATTTGAGTCCTGGATCACCATCTCCCTTAAGCATCTTATGTAACTCCTCTGATTCCCACAGCTGACTCCTGAAGCTGAGGTTCCCACTTACCCCCTTGCCTATACAATCACAGGGCATCTGTATGACCTGAAATCTACTCGCCTAACATTCCTGAGAACCTACCACATACCAGGCGAAGTGCTAGGTGCTGGAGAAAAGAGCCATGGCTCTAAGGAACCCCTGTCTAGAGAAGCTCTGATGTTTAAACAAGGAGGCCTTGGCACATTTACAACTGGGGAACTGCAGTGTGAACAAGGCTACCTTAGCTGTATAAATGAAAGACTATGGGAAAACAGACAGGAAACGGTTAATTATGTCTAGAAGAACTGCTATTTTGAGCTGTGATGTGGATTGTAACTTTAGAAAACAAATGAGTGCATAACTATGAAAAATGGGGTGGCTAAGCACAAATCAATGACTAAATACCTCAACCATCCCCAAATTGTAATAATTACTGGAAGCACATGAAAACAGTTTGTGTGTTTAAACCAGCATTGCCTGGCTCATTTCTATAACACACCGCAGCGCAAACCAGTTTGATGAGCAGTATCAAATTGTATCAGGATAAGTCTGATACTATTGCTGATTACTGCCTAGGATGAAGCAGCTATCCAGGGTCTTTTAGTACAAACAAATTAATAAACAAAAATCAATCACTGCAAGTAAGGACATTCTTAATTATCCAAGAGAAGACTGGAATGAATAACTAAATCCACAAATGAGAGAACCTGTAACCAGATTAATTCAAAAATTTTCTTCCCCCACCCCCCAGTTTTTTTCTACAGTCGACATAAAAATGACCTGTTTGAGTTATTGGTTACTTTTGTTTATAGGGGGGAAAGATGCAGATAATGAAGTTCAAAATTTTTGAGACTTACAAAAATAAACCATTAATTTCTAATACACTCTTTGCTTAGATGGTTTGGGCTGTGATTATTTACACCCCCTAAACTGCATAACTTTTCTCACCCCTCTATCAATTATCCCGGAATGCGGAAGCCAGAAGGGTGTGCAGGATCAGCTAGCCCAACTCCCTTCACAGAGAAGGAATGAAACAGAGGTGGTCTGTTCATAATCACACCTGCCCTTCAGTATTTGCTTGATTATACGCATGACTGGTCCACAGAAGGCAAAGCCTAAAGGGATCAGTTTAATAGGTCCATCTTCAAAAGCATATACAGAACCCAGTCAAATGATACTGGAACCTAACCACTCCTCCATGCTAATGCACAGATAGGCCGGTCCAGCTCAGGATGTGGCTTTCCTGCGAGTTCATAATGTCATAATCCCAACAAATTTAGGCAACTGGCTTTGAAGAAAAACCACCCCTGACCAAAAAAGAAAAAAAAGAGGACTGTCATTTCATAGAGCAGCCGACTGCAGTAGACTGGGATCCTAGTGCAGAATCAGCCAGAACAGAGTTTATTAAATGAAGTACTCTACTGTCCGATTTGCTTGCCTCTAGGTCTAGGAATTAAAATAGTGTTTCGTTTTTCCTACACTACATTCCAGAAGAGATAGCAAAAGGGGATGAGGGGTGGGGGGAATCAACAGGGAATTCTGCCACAAGCTATTTCTCTACCAAACAGGCACAAACGTTCTGCTAGGGTAGGCATGTAGACGCTAATCCCTTCTTAGTGGAAAACACACATTTTCAAAATGAATCCCCAATCTAGAATGAATTACCGTAATAGCCACAGCCGGAGCCAGTCCGCTGATGAGGGACGCAGATCGGGCCACCTGCTTTGAGACGACTTGGACCACAACACCGCTGGGGTGTTTGCAGGCTGGCCTTTTCGGGTAGGGCATCTACCCTTCTAAAACCGCGTTTAAATCCCAGGAAAAAGAGAGAAGATGCCTCCTCCCTTAATCCTTGAACTACGCCGCTCTTCCTGTATCCATTTCTGCCGAGCACAGCATTGTTTTCAAAGAGAAGAAAACGAAAACAAAAACAAAACAAAACCCAAAAAAAGCCACAGGGAGGAATCGCACCACTGCAGATCCCAAGAGGAGTAAGCAACAAAACTACGGCAACGTCAAATCGTATCTCGGGCAACTAGGAAAATCCCCACGCTGTATGGGTGTCAGCCCAATGCAGACCGAGGCGCGCGGTGCCCGGAGCCACGGGCGTCTCTGCAGCCTGTGTCCCTGCCAGCTGCCCCTCCCCACCCCCACGCGCTGAAATTCGGCAGGGAAGAAGTTACGGTGCCCAGCCTGTGTGCAAGGCAGACCACGCATCCGCGCTCCCAGAATCAGCCAAGTAGCCGGGACGTCAAAGCAGCCGAGCAATCAGAGAGCCCTGGGGGGTGCGGGGTATGGAGGGGCCACTTTGTTGGAGCGCTTCGATTTTGCTGCATTGTGACGGTCCGCGAATGCTTGGGTAGGAGGAAGCGCACCTCCAGCCAAAAATGGACCGGACGCGCACGTCTCAGCTCCTCCCTCCTCCCTCCCACCCGCCAGGGTGCAGGTCGCAATACGGTAGGCGACATGACCGGCTGCTTCCTCTCCAACTCAGGTGCCAGGCCCGGCGGAGGGCACAGCCGCCGGGGACCGGCGCATCCTTGCCGCTGACACCACCTAGGGGAGCGGGGCAGGACCTGGCAGCGCACCCGAGGGAGCGCCGGCGAGCTCGTGAGGGGACCGTGGAGGCTGGCAGAGGGACCCTGGCCGGCGTCGCTTGGGACACAGTCGTCCAAGGCGAGCCTGAGGCGGAGCGCAGATACCAGTTTAGGTCCCCGGGGTGGGTGTGGGCTGGGAAGGAGGATTACGTAGATCTCTCCGCCCCCTCCCCAGGCACCTCCTCGCTGCAAGCCCACTGGGGGGCTTCTTTGTTTCCCTCCGCGCCCCTCGGGAGGACCGGGCGCGCCCGCTCCACCCCAGCAGGGGTCCCCACCCGCGCACCCAGCCGGGCGGGCGGCGGCGCGCCCCAGGCTGACAATTGAACCTCGCGGGAGAACGAGAGGGTGGAGAGAAGGGTGGATTCCGGCCCGGGGAGGGAGGGCGCCGCTGGGGCTTCGCTATCGCCGGAGCCGCCCGGGGACTGGGTTCCGGCAGGGGCAGCGGGCAGGGTCCCCGCGGCGCGCTCACCTCGGCAGCTCCGGGCCCGGCGCAGAGCATCTCCGTCCGCGCGCAGTCACAGCCGGGGCGCGCACGTGCCCTGCACAGGCGCCAGGGACCTGCCTTGGGGACCCGGGAGACGCCGGCCACCTGGTGCCTGGTGCGAGCGAGTGAGCGAGGAGGGGCGGGCGCACCGAGGCGCGCGGGGCTGCAGCTCCCACAGCAGCGCCTGACGCGCGGCAACGCGGCGCACTTCCTTGCTTTATCCTCGCGCCCGCATCTCCTCCCTCCTCGCTGCTCCGAGGTGGGTACCAGACTCCCGAGCCAACCACAGGCCGGGCTGGCTCCGCTCGGCGCCGCCCAGCCCCGCAGCCCCCGCGCGCCCCCGCCCGCCCCCGCCCAGCCGTAAATATATATTGATTCTTGTTCCCGCCGGCTCCGTCCTTCCAACTCCGGCGCGCGTACTGAGCCATCAGACATCAACCGCGGCTCACCAGCCCTTTTGTGTGTGTGCAAAAGGCGTGTTGAGAAAAGGATGCGTGCGGTACAGACACTCTCGGCAAGTGCCCCGTGACAGGTGTGTTTGGCCCCTGCTTTACACACTTTCTCCACCCATGTTGTGCACGTTTATGAGCACTTGTGGACACGTTTTGGGATACTGGCCTGTGTCTGTCCAGTGAACACGCCAAGCAAACGCTGTTATGACAAATTCAAATGCAAACGGAGCGAACTTAGCCAAACCTGGCTTTCAAGGCAGATTTAGAATTAAACTGCACTCAGTTTCAGAGTGCTGGACCCGGAGGGAAACAGGCTGACCCTATCCTGGTCCATTCACCCCAGATGCAAAGAAAGATGACCTGCTGGCCACTGTGTATGTGAGCTGCTCCGTGTGTGTAAATCTACGTGCATTTGGTCCGCACTTGGCTTCCACGTGTTCACTTAAAATGCTGAGGTTTTGAGCACATAAGCTCCATTGTCTGTGATTCTAACTGCATTTTTCACAATGCTTATTTATTTCTTCCCATTCTCCTGCCCCACACTCCCTGCGATTAGCCATTTTTCACATCCTGAGAAATTTTCTTCTTCTCCATATCCCAAACCTATCACTCTTCTAGGATAAACAAAGGGTCATCCCTGACTCCAGAACTGATTGAAGATCTGAGCACAGACTTTCACCAAACAAGTCTTCTACGTCGAGATCAGGAGTGTCTTCTCAGTGGCCCCTCTTTCACTGACCCACCTCTGGGCCTTGATTTCACTCACGGTAGGAACCTTCCAGGGGTGGAACCCTGGCACTGGGCACAGGGGGCCTCCCCAGCAGTCCTCCTTTCTGCAGGAAGCACATTTTCTTCCCTTCTTTAGTCTACCCCGGATGCTGAGTTCTTTAAGCAGGTTCCCTGCTCTCTGTCCCGCAGCAGTAAGATCTTCCCATCAGATGAGCTCAAGAGGCTGACTGCTTTTCAGACCTCAACTAGGGATCTACACAGAATGCTAGACACACATTTTTCCAGATTATATACATTTGAATTAATATTAACTAATATATGCAAAAAGGCCTCCAAGAATAAACTTGGCCAGACTGCTATAAACAACAGTATCAACCAACTGTGTGATGTTTCCAGCAAGAGACTAGAAAGAAAAAAGAAAGACAAAAGAAAGCCTTCTTGCATAAACCATTGTGCCTGGTTTTTAAATTAGCACATCACCACCAAACCACAACAAAGGATAATTCCTTACCTCAATTAATTGCAGAATGTTCACTGCATTATTTTCAGGGATGTGGCTAGAGCCTGGTTCGGACAGTTTCTCCCTGTTCTATCTATCATGGAGATGACATGACAGGTTAACATCTCTCTTAAGGGTTATTGATGTAACAATCCTGAGATGTGCTTTGTTTTCCCTTGGGGAGGGCTCTCTCTCTTTCTCGCTCTCTCTGTCTCTGTTTGTCTCTGTCTGTGTCTCTCTGAAGGCAAAAAAGATATTAGTTTCACATCTCAATGCTTTCAATAAATAAATTTGTAAAGCACTTTCCACCTTCCTGATGCATTGGAACCAAATAGATTCATTCCTGTGTGTTGTCTTTTTATCCCTAATAGTCACAGCATAGTTTGGGCACATGGTCCTATTTTACATAGAAAAATAACAGAACTACATAAGTTTTGTAATTTCTCAAGGACCTGTGAGAAAATCTCCCATCTAGAGGTAATTGATGTCAGCTACCTTCACTTTAAAAAGACAAGTAAGTATTGGGTGGGCAAAGGGAGAGGCGTGGCATGAATTTTAGAGCCATCCAGGTAGTTGTCATGTGTATAAACCTTCTGATATTTTCACAATACTCAGAACACTTATAAATTCAGTAATAATAAGTCATGGTGCTGCTGATACCCAAAATACATTTTTTTTTACTGTGTTGGGGGTCAAGCCCAGGGTTTCAGGAGTATTAAGCAAATGCCCATTGCTAAGCTATACCTCCAGCCCAAAACTAATCCTAAATTATACCATAAGGCAATGAGGCCTAGGCAGGCACCTGCATTACCTAGAGGCTGATGCCGAATGATGTCTTCACTTTTTGTAACTAGGTCCAACAGAAGAAGGGCAGATAAAGTAGGGTATGTTGAGTACCTTTTTCTCATTACTGAGAACAAATACCTGATGCCAAAAATGAACTAAGGAAAGGTTTATTTAGCTCACAGTTTGTGCAGGTTTCAGTCCGTAATCTGCTGGGTCCAAGGCAGGGTGGCTCATGGCAGAGGGCAATAGTTCGTGGAAGTAGAAGGCAACAGAAACAGCACAAAAAACAGAGGAGTGCAAGAGAAGACTCTTTCTCTCCCTCACATTGTATGTGGACTACCTGCCCCAGGGCAGGTATAACAGTCACACCCATAATCCCAGTGTTGGACCATTAATTAATCACAAATCCTAAAAGCCTGCCCCCATGACTGAATGAGGCTAGGGGGGGACATCCAGACACAAACCATAACAAGGAGGAACTACAGCCCCCGCCACACACACACATACAAATGGTCCCTTGTGCTGAGGAAATTGTTGCTCAAACTGATCAGGGGTTTATTTGGGAGCATCCCTTCACTGTACTGTTGGAAGTGAGTGCCTTTCAGAGGATAGAACCAGTGAATCTGCATTTACTATGAAATATCTGATAGTCTCTCTCCACAGAACTGGGCTGCAGTTGGTAATTTGTGATCTCATTTGGATACCGTAAGTGCTAAGATGTGGGCTAAAAACACAGTCCAGGGTGTCCAAGTTGACCGATTGAGCAAGTTATCTTGACAAGTCATTTCTATGACAGAAGGAGGAGTTTTGATTTGTTGCTGTTCTCAATTCATAGTCCTAGGATTGAATCCCAGCCTTTGCACTGAGCAGCATCCCTGGCTATTTTGTTCATTTGTTTGTTTTTGATAACCATCTCTTTTTTTTGAGACATGGGCTCATCAAGTTGCTAAGGTGTCCAGGCTGAGCTCAAAATTGTGATCCTCCTCCCTCACTTAGCCTCACACTGTGCTGGTGTTGGAGGTGTGCACTACCATACCTGGCTAAGGAATTTTTATTTTAAAGAGTGAGTAAACATGCATATAGATACAAAGTAGCAGTAGCTTTTTTAACAGTAATGAAAGCCTCTGGGTGGCTTTGGGCCTCAGGTGTGTGTGTGTGTGTGTGTGTGTGTGTGTGTGTGTGTGTGTGTGTGTGTGATGCACAGGCTGAGGTTAGATGAGAGATCATGGGACTTCCCTTATAGTGTTCAGCATTTTGGGGAATGTGCTGAATCCTGAGGATATAACCTCGAAGAAGACAGTCTCTGATTTCCTGGATATTAGAGTTGGGGGTATTAAAACCTTTAATTAAATAAATGAGCAATATATATATATATTTGTCTTTTTCCTTTTTATCGGTACTGGGGATTGAACTCACGACTGCCTGCTTGCAAGGCAGGTGCTTATGCCACTGAGCTAAATCCCCAGCCCCGAGCACTATATATTTGATGAACGAAGTATATGTACAATGAGGAGCCTGATATCTGTCACACAGAGCACAGGTCCCAGGAAAGACCCTGGTGATGGAGGGAGGCTGGGACTCAAGGGAAGTCCTTTTAATGCCCGAGTTGAGACTTAAAGGATCGGTAGGAGTTGGCAGACCATGGAAGAGGAGTATCTGGGTTAACCTGGCAATGAAGACAGGCAGTGAGGTCTGCATCCCAGTCAAGATTTCACGACAGCTGTGTAAGTATGCAGTGGTAATTTCAAGTGTAGCAATTTATATTTCCCAATGACTAGTTATGGTGAGCATCCATTTTGTGCTTTTATCTCCAACCCTGCA